ACACACACACACACACACACACACACACACACACACACACACACACACACACACACACACACACACACACACACACACACACACATTATTTTTGATTCAATAATTTTTCAAAATATGATTTTTTATTTTTTTTAAATAACCATTTTTCCTCCTGGTCTCTCGCGCCCCCCTGTCATGCCTCTGCACCCCCCACTTTGAGAACCACTGTTCTAGTGGTTCTGGTTCTGTACCTCTCTATTCAGCCGGTTGAGGAAATACTTCCGGACTCTTCCGTACGGTTCGGCCAGTTTCAGGACGTCACCGTCCGAGTATTTACTGTTCGGGATCTGACCGAGGTAAACAACTTTACTGGATCCACACTGAGGAACACATGAAGAAGAAGAGTCAGGAACACATGAAGAAGAGTGTAGCTCTCCTCAGGTGTTCCAGGTGATGATGAAGGTGATGATGAAGGTGATGATGTTTCTCACCTGGATGGTAGGATAGCTCGTTGAATGGCTGATTCTCACTGGTCGACCACAGATAGAAGCTGTCACATTACAGCTGTAGAAGGCAGCCATAGCTCGAGCTTCTTCTTCTGTGGTAAACTGAAGAGAGGAGGAGGAGGAGGAGGATTATTAATTGAAACACCTGACTCTCTTAAAGTACAGATTGAAATGATTGTAAACCAGATGTTCCCGCAGCGTACCTCAGATCTGAGGTCCAGCACCAGATGTTTCACCACCTTCCCAAACGGCTTTGCCAGGGCCAGAAGGTCGCTCATGAACTTATAACCTCGCCTGAAGCCCACGATGTTCACCACCCTCATGCCCTGAAGAGGAAGAAGAGGAAGATATTTAGCAAATATAAAAACATCTAAGTGTTTAGATAATAAACTCTAAACGCTACTCACCCCTTTCCTGGAGCTGTCTGCAGAGAGGAGACGAACAGGGAGGAGGAACAACGTTAGTTTCAACGAAAGAGATAAGTATACATATCTGAAATATGTTTTTAAGATATCCAAAAAGAATCTGGAAAATACTGGGAAAAAAATTACAAAAAAACTGGAAAATAAAAAAAGGTAAAATATCTGAATAAACATTTTCAGAAACATTTGAGATAAATGTCCAGAAAACAAGTTGACTCAATGCTCCTGTAAACATATATAAAATAATAACAATAATTGATGTTGTTGTGCAGTTAGTACCGGTGGTGTCCTCCTCCTCTTCCTCATCTTCCTCCTCCTGCAGCTCGTCCAACGTCACAAAGTCATCCATGTTGTCCAGGAAGTCCTCCTCAAACTGCAACACAATCATCAGATCACTAAATCACTTCAACTTTAAGGAAAGTTAGATTCCAGGTAGATAAACTCATTCATATTAATAAACGTTATAGAGCGTACGCTGTCTGCAGGTAAACAGCTGGGACAGTTCACTCTAAGGTACTCGAGAGGAGGGTCAGGCCCATTGTCCACCCTCACGACGGATCAGCTTTTTACTCTCACAAGGATCCTGGAGGGGGCCTGGGAGAACGCTCATCCAGTCTACATGTGTTTTGTAGACTTGGAGAAGGCGTATGACCGGGTTCCCAGGGAGTCACTGTGGGAGGTGCTGCGGGAGTATGGGGTGAGGGGGTCTCTACTCAGGGCCATCCAATCTCTGTACTCCCAAAGCGAGAGCTGTGTCCGGGTCCTCGGCAGGAAGTCGGACCCATTTCAGGTGAGGGTTGGCCTCCACCAGGGCTGCGCTTTGTCACCAGTCCTGTTTGTAATGTACATGGATGGGATTTCGAGGCGTAGTCGTGGGGGAGGGGGTCTGCAGTTCGGTGGACTAAGGATTGCACCACTGCTTTTTGCAGATGATGTGGTTC